CGAAGCATCGCCGCGTCCAACGTGCACACGTGGAGAAGACCTCGCAACCACGGGAGGAACAACTAACGTTCAGCTTGCTCCATTCTCGACAAGCTCCACAGCTCTACTCTACACGAGCGAATCTCATAAAACCCCCTACAGTCGTAGACCCACCACAACAAGCCGCGGCTTGCAGGAGAAGGTCTCGCGAACCTCTTCCAATCTGACTCAGAGCTGAGCCCTCTGCAATAAACATATCCTTATAATATTTTACCCCTATAATATGTTTAGTGTCAGAGCTGGGAACCCGGCCCAGGCCATCTGCTGTCCCTCTAAGCTTTCGGAGCCGGCCAAGCGGGTCACTCGCTCCGCGAAGACCACCCAAAACCTTCTGCGGGCTATCTGACGGCTTGGAGGCTTCAGCGACAGAGTCAGCAGTTTTTTGGGGAGTTGCGGGAAGTCATATCTGTACATGTGCGGCTTCTCAACCCTTGCACCATCTTGGAATATGGAGGCCATTGCTGGATGGGCCAAGGTCAATTCTGGGCAGCCCTGCAGGCCTGACCGTGCCAGAGTGCCGACCTTTCATATTCTCCCCTAGGCCAGTCTGGTGAGAATGATTCTGATTGGCATTCAAGCTTACGAACAATCATCATGAAGGAGGAGGAAGAGGAGGAGGAGGAGGAAAGGTGATGGTGGTGATGATGATGATGATGATGATGATGGCGATGCTGATGATATATGATGTTTCTTAAGATGCTGACGATGACGAGGGTAGCTGCACAACCAGGTCCCCCACTCGGACGCCAAGCGCGAGGTACCTCGGCAACTAGAAGGTTCGGCTGTAAGGGTGCAGAGCCTGACGGGATTCGGGTTGCAGGAAAGTCGCCCATCCCTGAAACAACAAGCCGAATCCGGCTCAGCAGAGCAGAACACATAAATCTTTGAAACAGAAGTACCAGGTACTGTCCAGACCCACTCAATGACTGTAGAGGGCTTAAGAGTAGGCTTTGGGCTTTGGAAGATACCCATTGCTGCTTTTGCTGAAAACCGAAGCGCCTTCTTTGCTCAGCTTGACATGACTAAACTTGCATCCCGTGCAATTCAAAGTGTGGGAAACGAGAAGAAGAAGAAGAAGGCAAAAAAGCCTTTGACAAGACCACTGGAACTCGTCTCCAGCGGCACAAAGAGCTCGTAGCTACTGGCTGGTGGAGCCACAACCACATTCGACTGAACCCCAAACTCCTCATGGCCCGGCATCCGTATGAAGACACGCGGCAGGGAGCGTGCATGGAGACAGCCTGCTCTCTGCGAGTCTCTACGGGGAAGTGAGCCCTGAGGGTGCCACTGGATGTTTGTGTTTGCACTGGTTTTACAAAGCTTCCAGGCTCCAGTCCCCAAAGCAACTGCTGCCCCACGGTGAAGCTACTAGGGTTTGGGGGTTTGTGTCGGTTTCGGGTCATGGCAGCTATCCAAGATTGATGCTCAGGCTGTGCTGGGTCTAGGTCTTATGCCTTTGTCGCGGGACCTGAGGGCGTGCCTCTTGGCAACCACCCAGGTATACCACTCAAACGCTACGATAGATCACAGGATTGCTCCCTGATTGCCGTGCGTGCGGCTGACGCTACATTATGCTCCTCTTCCGACTTCGTTTAAAGCTTATACATCTATGTCTTCTTGCTGCCGCTCTCATCATTCTTGCTTCTGGCTACTAGTACCATCTGTTGGGAGTTAGGGCTCCCGTGGCCTCTCCGGTCTCGAGTAGCTGCTGCGGGTTGCCGAGCCGGGAGCCCCCCACGAGTAGCTGCAAGACTAGGTCCTCGCTCTCGGGGCTTCTGCGGGCGTCGACGTTTTAAAGCATCGGTTTAGGGGCATCAGTTAGGTGTCCTGATAGGGTGGTGGTGTGGCCCTGGGACGATAAGTTTTACCACTTCTCTGTCCGATTCCGTCGGGGCGATGCCAGGAGAAAACAGCTCCCTGGCTCGGTTCATGTTCGTTTGCTCGAAGCAGGACTGCAAGGTTCAGGGTCTGAAGACATCACCGGCGAGACTGACAACTAGCAAGCGGGACTTGAGTAACTAAGAGAGAGCGAGAGCGAGAGACAGAGGGGCAGAGAGTCACAGAAATTAAAAAGCAACCGAGGAAAAAAAGCCGCCGCAAACAGAGAGACAGAAACGGAAGGATAGCGAGTTCGAAAACTTGCTTGGTGGATCTTGGTGTTCATCTGTCTCATCTATTCCATAACGACACAGCACAGCAAGAACCCCTGTCCCTCCAAGTGCAGGGGATCCGGTCCTGCAATGTCACTGCAGTTTCTGGCGCGTCCTCGAAGCTTCCGAAACCCCTAAGCCCGAAAGCACCAGCACAGGACTCGAGCTGTACGGGTCCGGACCACGCCAGTCGCCGCAGTCCGTCGCAAAGGAAGGCAGTGCACAAGCCACTGCTTCAGGCTTGCTACAGCCACTGCCCTTGACGCGAGCTCCAAAACCTTGCTAAGAAACCCCCTACCGCCCCGACCTCAGGTCGCTGGTGGGAAACTGTGAAACCATGTCATTTACCCGGCCTCGTAGGCGTCATCTTTGTTCGGCCTCGCGATGCAAGACATGTCAGTGCAGCATGTGAGGCACCCAAGTCGTAGCTATGCTGGGATAACAATCAAGGATCAACGGGGTAGTGCAACATTGCACCGTTCTGTTGCAACCGCATATCACTGGGAATCATGGCACACCCCGATGTACAAGAAGCCTGCAGTCCAGAGTTTCCATTACCTTTCGTATCGTTGCGCCAGACAGCCCCCAAAGGCGGGAACCCCGGCCTTAGCCAGAGCGCCTGCCCGTGGCCTGCAAAAGCGGCCAAGACCAGGCGAAGCTCCGCCGGGGCGAAGCCCCGAACATGGCCGCAGACCTCCCCACTTGCCACTTTCGGGTCGGAGAGCCCGAGATCGGAAGTCAAAGTTCATGTAGAGGCGATGTAGGACTCGCTGTTTGTTGAGAAAGTGCTTACTCGATCTTGCTCTGCGAGTTCAAGCCAGCGATAGCCCGACAAAACACTGTTGTCAGTCGACAGGTCTCGGGTGACCTGCTCCGGACCCCCATAGCCTGAGTCCCTTCACTCCAATTCCTAAGCTCCCAGTCGGATCTGCAAGAGAAGGGTGAGCTCGCTGTGGAGGGGAGGGACCCTTCTGAGACCTCAACTTCACTCGAAGCTCGAACCGAAAACCTCCATCCTGGAGTCTCCTAACTTGAAGAAAAGCTCGAATCAAGCCTGAAGCAAGAGCTGAAAATGCGGGAGCTCTCAGAGAAGGGCCTCGGGCAAGAACGTCACAGGTGCTTTTCCAGCCTCCGCTGCACTCGAGGTTGCGCGGCGAAACTCGCAAGTAAACACTCCTTCTCCATGAAAAATAAGCCTAGTTCAAGTCTATCCAACACCAGGTGCACCGAAACCCGGAACCCCAAATCCTAATCCTCGACATACCCGCAACAACCTAAAGCAAGCCTAGCTAAGCCTTTCCTGCTCAACTTTGCCTCGGTCGCACCCGCCACGGCATAAGGACGCAGCTTCGCCAGCAGCCGTGCGCGGGACGCCCATGGGGCCGCACGGGACATGAAAGTTGTGAGCTTGGGAATTCTGCGGATGAGTTTGCAGGGTAAGGGTTTAGGACTCGATGACTGGCCACGTGGAGTTTTTTGCAAAGTCTTGTTCATGTGTTGGGTCTCGGGTCTTGAGACGGCCTGGACCTCTTCGACTAGACCATACACACGCATTTTAGCCTACACATCTGCAGCATGCAACAACAGATCAGGATTGTCCGAGATCGTGTTGCACCTTCTCCAAAAGATCACACCGGCCGAATGTCTCCGGTCCCAGCCCAACGAACTCGATGAAGCTATTTCATATCTCATCTTCCGAATAGATCATGGAAACTGGGAAGCCCGAAATAGAAGACTTGTTACATACTCAACCTTCTATCCCTTCCGAAGAAACGCATCTGCTGCTGGCGGATGGTTTTCTCCCACTCTGGGGACTTGGAAGGCAAGGTACGGGAGGACGCCTCCACGGCTGCCTATCGGTTGTCTAGGAGTCCAGGAATCAACGGATGAATCGGTAAGGGGCTCTAAAAGGGTTCCACAAGCAAGCTGCTCCATGATCAGGGGAATGATTCTTCAGGAGATAAGGGGTATCTTCCAAGACACCTTGCAAAGCCTGTACACCTGGCATGCGACAGACAGCAACTCGCATTCAGCCAAGATTTGCTGCAGAGCCTCCGGGTTTCGGGATGGTTTCGGGCTCTGCTGTTGGTGATTCAGGCCTTCAGTGATTCAGGCCTGATCGGTACGCGGGGTTTCGACGTGAGGGAGTGCATCTAACAGCCAAGGCTCACCTACCTTCTCTCAGAAGCTGCCACACAGTGGCAGTCGTCACCTAAGGGAGGTGAGACCTGTCAGGACTCCTGGGATGCCCGGCCTAAAACTTAGACAGACTTTAGGGATTCGGGTTACATCAGGGACCATTACTTGCTACAAGGTCTCCCGATTCACATCCTGACCTACACAAGTCCGGCAACATCCGATGCCAAATTCACGCCATCAAAGTTCTTGACGACCTGAAGTCCCAGGGGCCAAGGACACTGCATCCCAAAGGCTGGAGGTTCGTATAAGTCGGGCTTGTTCAGGAGCAACCATGGCCATGCATCTATTAGTAATCCTTGTAGGGCAAGAGCAACTAGAAGGTTCAGGAAGAGACATGTACGATTCATTGGACACTTGATCCCGGTGACCCCCCACACCTTGCCGCTCTTGTCAATAAGCGTCTTGTGCGGGATGTACCTGAAAATCGAAGATTTCTGCGTCGTCCTAGCAATAACAATGGCAATAGTCGTGGCAGCAGCAGCCGCAGCGGCCGCAGCACCAGAACAGTAACAGTAACAGTCGCAGTGGCAGTAGTAGCAGGAGCAGGAGCAGGAGCAGAAGCAGAAGCAGAAGCGGGAGCAGGACGGGAGCAGTAGCAGGAGTAGGAGTAGG